GCCTGACCATTAAATAAAAGAAACGACACCTCTTTTTTTTTTTTCCACAGCCTCCGTAATGAAAACGCTCGCTCCTCCTGCCTCGCCCCCATCAGCTGTCCGTGTTCTTCTCGGCCTCTTTGGAATGGATGATGTACATGAAAGTCTGCTCGATGGTGAAGTCCGGGGGCAGGCTGCCCTTGTGCACCCCTATGTGCTTGCTCATGAGGTTGAGCGTGGAGCTGTAGTGCCCGCACACGGTGCAGCGGTACATGAGGGCCCCCGAGTGCGTCCGCAGGTGGCACTTGATGGTGGAGCGCCCGCGGAAGAACTTGTGGCACACCTTGCACTGGTAGGGCTTCTCGCCGGTGTGGATGCGCCGGTGGTAGTTGAACTCGCTGGTGTGGGCGAACCTCTTCCCGCACACCTTGCAGCTGTACTTGCTGTTCCCCGGCTGGCTCTGCAGCGCCAGCTCCTCGCTCAGGAACTCCTCGGGCAGCTTCCTCTTGGTCAGCCCCTGCGGCTGGAGCCGCTCCCCGAACCCCGCCCGGATGTCCAGGCTCCCGCCGCACTTGTGCTGGCTGACGTGGTACCGATAGGCCGCCTCCAGCTTGAAGCTCTGGCTGCAGAAGTGGCACTGGAAAAGAGCCTCCTCCACGTGCTGGTGCACGGCCAGGTGCTTCTCCAGCAGCTGCCGGTCCACAAAGCTGTTGGCGCACACGGAGCAGGAGAAGACGGAGATGCCCAGGTGGGACAGGGTGTGCCACATCAGGCTGCAGAGGCTCAGGTGCCTCTGGTCGCACACGCCGCACGTCTGGCTCTTCAGGTTCACGTGCTCCAGGAGGTGGTTCCGGACGGTGTGGAAATCTTTGGCCAAGGGCTTCCCGCAGGCAGCGCAGGCCAGCTCGGGGCTCCCCCCTCCCCCAAACACGGCCACCTTCCCGGGCAGGGGGTCGCTGGGGTGGACGACGATGTTGTTGTCGAAGACCCCGTCCCGCCGGTGCAGCGTCAGCTGCCACTGGGTGAAGAACTTGGTCTCGCACATGTCGCAGGAGAAGAGGAAGATGCCGATGTGGGACAGGACGTGAGTGACCCTGGAGTTGCGGTCCTGGAAGTGGGTCTCGCACACCTTGCAGTTCCCGGTGAGCAGGTCCACGTGGTCCCTGGCGTGCTGGCGGATCAGCTGGATGTTGGGCTCCAGCACCTTCTTGCAGACCTGGCAGGGCATGGCCTTGCTGTCCCGGCCGTCGCTCTCGAAGGCCAGTTCCTCCTCGCTGTCGTCGCTCAGCTCAATCACCTCCTCGGAAGGGCCCAGCTCTTCTCCAGCATCCTCAAAATGCAGCTCGGCCTCTCCCAGATCCTCCAGCTGCAGCTCATCCATCTGCTCAAATCCCTGCTCTTTGGAGTGGTCACTGTTGCTGGGGCAGGAGTTGCTCCCCATGGAGACATCCAGGGATGGATCGGTGGGGAAGAAGCCGCCCTTTCCGTAGTCGCCGTTGCTCTGGGCCTTGTACTGGGAGCAGGAGCTGCCGGTGGTCTGTGCCGCGACATTCCCGCCGGGCTGGGCCCCCAGACCCGCGGTCGGAGCGAACTGCCCCGGATCCGGCCCCTGTTCCGTCTTGGGAGGCTGCTGTGGATGCATCAGGGGAAGAGCCTGGCTGGCTTCACCCACGGGATTCCTGTCGTCCTCCTTGTAGCCGCCCGACACGTCCCCGTGCAGGATGTAATTCCGCTCGGGGCCGAAGTGCTCGGTGCTGCTCCGGATGTCACCCAAGGAGTGGCTCTGCTCCGAGGAGGTGCTGCTCAGCGGCCCTGCCCGGCCTTCCCCCACAGACAGGGAGGGCTGCTTGGTGATGGCCGAGCTCTCCAGGTCGGGGAAGGTGGAGTGGCAGGCCTGCAGCAGGTCCTCCATGCCCAGCCGCTCCGCCACCTCGTAGATGACGCCCACGTTGATGAGGTCTGTGAAGAGCTCCGAGGTGTACACGAAGCTCAGGATCTTCTCAAAGTTGGCCGGCGTGATGAAGTCCACCACGTAGGTCCTGGCAGCGTCCAGCCCCGTGTTCAGGAAGAGGTTCTGGAAGTATCCGGCGGCGCAGGCCAGCACGGCCTTGTGCGCAGCGAAGGAGCGGGAGCCCACCAGGATGGTGACGTCGCACATGGTCTCGGAGAGCCGGCACTTGTTGAGTTCCTTCAGCAGGTTGTTGGGGTGGTTGGTGCTGTGCAGCTTGATCCTCATGCCCATCTTAGCAGCTGCTTGAGAGTCCCTCCTCCCGGTCAGCTTGGCCTTTACACCCTCATCAGCGGCGGGAGCAGGAGGTGTTGGGCAGCCAGGAGTGGCAGGGCAAGGGGCTCTGGAGAGGGGAAATGCAGAAAAATGGTAGCACTTAAACAACCAAAGTAACACCATTCCGGTCAGACCTCCCATTTTACACCTTCTGGATGAGCCACAGAGCAGCTGCTCAGCTGGAAAGGGACTGAACCTGCCTTGTCACCTCACAGACCAACTTTTTAAGAAGTGAAGGGGCGGATGCACAAAGGGACAAGCTCAAAACAAAAAGCCACTGACTCTGCCAGAGGCAGCTGAAGGTCCTGCTGCTCTTTGGGCAGGGACAGACATCTGTTGACTCGGAGACCCAACAGGAGCCTGTTCCAGCCATCCCCCCTCTTCCTGAGCCAGGGACAAGGCTCCTCTCCAGAGGGATGACACTCAGGCTCCACACAGCGGTCAGATTCCCATCTGGATCTCCTCCAGCCACCATTTCATCCCTGCACTTCAGATTCCACCTGTACCCACACGGAGACTCTCCGTTCCCAGGTGGGATCTCATCTCGGATCCTCTGTGTTCCAGCCTCGTGGGCTCTCCTGGGATTTCTCCTCTGCTGTGGCACCTCTCAGTGCAGATTCCCCGCCTGCCCCAGGCACCGGCCATTCCCACCTGAGCGTGTCCCTCCAGCTCATCCCGCTGCCTTTGCTACCCTGTCCTGCTCACGGATGCTCCAGCAGCTTTTGGGACCCCACAAACTTACCCAGAGAGCTCTACCCCTAATTCCCAGCCTCCTCCTTCCCGGGACGGGGAACAGCGAGCGCAGAAAGCAGCAGAGAGCGGGAGTTTGGAGGGGGCAGGAGGGGACGGGGCTGCTCCTGCCCCAGAGCCAGGGAAAGGTCAGAGGGGCTGAGGATGGACCGTCCTCCCCCGGGGAAAACCCCCGGCAGCTGAGGAGGGCGAGGAAGAGGAGGAGGATGGCCGGGGAAGGCTCTGGAAGGCAAACGCTCACCAGCGGCGGTTCCTGCGGCGCGGGAATCCCTGTGGAGGGGATGGGACGGGGGGAGAAAAGAGCGGGAGAAGGGATGGGGGCGCGGGGGCAGCGGAAAGGGGGGGCCGGGGGCGCGGGCGGGCAGGAGGGGGCCGGGGAGTCGCGAACCTGCCCCGGGAGGAAAGGGAGG